ATGTGGGAAATTGTCCAGGTATGTCTTGTACATTTTAAAAAAAAGGACAAATCCAACCCAGCCATTTACCGCCCCACCAGTCTATTCTTGATCATCAGTAAAGTGATAGAAGGTGTCATCAACAGTCTATCAAGCAGCACCTGCTCAATGAGGACGAGTTTGGGTTCTGCCAGGGCCATTCAGCTCCTGACCTTGTTGCAGCCTTGTTTAAACAGAGTTGAGATGAAAGCGACAGCCTTTGATATCAAAGCCTCATTCGACTGAGTAGGGCATCGTAGAGCTGTAGCAAAACTCGGGGCAAATTCTCCGCTGGTTGGAGTCATACCTGGCACAAAGGAAGATGGTCATTGTCGTTGGAGATAAGTCATCTCAGCTCCAGGACATCTCTGCAGGAGTTCCTGAGGATAGTATCCTAGGCCAAACTGTCTCCAAACGCTTCTTCAATTACCTTGCCTCCATCATAAGTCAAAAGTAGGAATGTTTGCTGATGACTCATCAGATACTGAAGCAGTCCATATTCAAATGCAATGAGATCTGGACAATATCCAGGCTTGGGCTGACAAGTGGCAAGTAACATTTGTGCCATATTAAATGCCAGGCTGTGACCATCACCAGTGAGAGACGATCTAACCATTGCCCCTTGACATTCAGTGGTGTTACCATCACTGAATGCCCCCACTGTCAACGTCCTTGGGGTTTCCATAGACCGGAAACTCACCGCATAAACAGTGGCTCCAGAAGTAGGTCAGAGGCTAGGAATACTGCGGCGAGTAACACACCTCTTGATTTCCGCACAAAGTCTGTCCATCATCTACAAGGCACAAGTCAGAAGTGTGATGGAATACTCCACACTTGTGTGGATAGTGCAGCTCCAACAGCATGCAAGAAGCTTGACGACATGCAGGCCAAAGCAGCTTGTTTGAATGGCACCATATCCACAAGCATCCATTCTCTCCACCACCGATATTCAATAACAGCAGTGTGTACTATCTGCAAGATGCACTGCAGAAATTCCCCAAAGCAACTTCCAAACAAGGGAAACAGATACATGGGAACACCACCACCTGCAAGTTCGCCACTGAGCCACTCACCATCCTGACTTGGAAATATATCTCCTTTCCTTCAGTGTCACTGGGTCAAAATCCTGGAATTTCCTCCCTAATAGCATTGTGGGTCAACCCACAGCACATGGACTGCAGCAGTTCACTACTACCTTCTCAAGGGCAACCATGGACAGGCAATGAATGCTGGCCAGCCAGCAATGCCCATATTGCACAAATAAATAAAAAAGAGCCAAGTTGCAATCTTAAGTGGGTGTCAAGAACGGCTGATCTGACAAATTCCCAGTCTTGTTCACTTTTTTTGTTCTGTTTTAAATTCTGGAGTGGATGGGAGGGCTGACAACCGCATGAGTGTCAAACCACAAATGATTGCTGTTTCAGCTATCCAAGATCCCAAACAGCTTTTTTGGCTACAATTTAAAATAGAATATTGTAATCTAACAATTTAGTAATGACATGCCAATTTTTCTTAGTATTGTTCAAATAACTTGATGCAATTTTTGACTCTTGACATCCTAATTACTTCCTTTTCATTATGGATGTCCAATTCCTCTATACCAGCACCTTCCACAAGAATGATAAGTGCTCTTTCCATTTCTTTCGCATAAAAACTGCAACACAAGGGACTGAGGGGTACTTGTACATGAAACACCAAAAGCTAACACATGGGTGAAACAGGTAATCAGGAAGGTTAATGGACTTTTGGCCCTTATTTCAATGAGTATTAGATTAAGGAAGTCTTACTTCAACTGTACAAGGTGCTGATGAGACCATATCTGGAGTACTATGAACAGTTTTGGTCCCCTTATTCTAGAAAAGAATTTTCTTATTCGAGGCCATTCAGTGAAATAATGCGACATGCAGTAATTTGATGGTTTTGAAAACTGAATTTGTTTCTTGAAAACACAACTTTTTACTTTGTTTTAAATCCTGGTATTTATCAGCCTGGGTTACCAGTCTCAGGATAAGCACTATCCGGTGCCACTAAACCAAGCATGGCTATCCAATTGATTAGAATTCTAATACCTATATTAATAAACCGAATTGAAATATAAAAATCAATGCCGAGAAAATGTTGCCCCCCTCACTTGGCAATCTAGAACATGGGTCAGAGCCTCATTATGAGGAATTGGCAATTTTGGACAGTTATAAAGCAGAGATTGACCCCCCCCACCCCGGAGAACTAAAACCAAAATACCCAAAGAGAAGCACCTCGCCCCATAATCTGTAAAAGGCGTATGAAAAGTGGTGTAACCTGCCTTTCAGCAACTTCTAGTCATTAAATAGAATAAATTCCTGCCATTCTCTTTAAAATCAGCAAGTATCAATTTATTTATCTAACTCTAACAAGTGAACAAATTAACTGAACAATTAACTAACTGAATAAATCCTTCTGACTACTGACTATTCCCAAATAAAGCAATATTCTAATGGTATGCTGTTCCAATAAATACAAGTCTCACACATATAAAGAAGAATAAAATTTAGTCTCTCAAAATTACAGCCAGGTTATGTGTCATCCAGAATATTCTGTGCCTTCTCCATTGACTCTTCTGTCAGGAATGCCTTCTCCATCGATTCTTCTGTCAGGAATATTAACTAGTTATGCTGTTGGCTCTGTTGTTATTTAGATGGTGCTTTCTCTAAGACCTAGAGAAGATTGTGAGAACCAGCGATTCTCTCTCGAGAGCGGAGGGCCATTTGCTTTGGTGGATGGCAGCCAGCTCTGGGGCTTTGTCCATCTGCCCCTTTCTTTTTATACTCTTGATGACATATTAATATTTCATACAATAGGATTGGTCCTATGTTATCAAACCATCAGACTTAAATTTAAGATAACAAGGTATAGAGCTGGATGAACACAGCAGGCCAAGCAGCATCAGAGGAGCAGGAAAGCTGACGTTTCGGGTCTAGACCCTTCTTCAGAAAATCTTAATATAGACTTAAATTTAATAGGTTTTTGGTATCTATAACCTGGTTCAAATTGATTGGCTAAATTCAGAAGCCTGTTGTTTTGTTACAAAACTGCTGCTTGGTCTGCTAACTGTATGGTCTTTTGATACAGATGTTTCAATTTGGGCACTCTGTGTGCTTGCAAACTTGTAAGCTGCTACTCACAGACATCCATTTTTAAATCTCGGAGCACAGAAAAAGCGCATGATCTTTTAAATGGACCATGCAATGCTTTCTCCCCTAGCATTTTACAAACACCAAATTCTAATTTCCTGCCTCCTGATCCACAAGTACTGTACCCAACTTCGCAACAGGACTTTGATCAGGTGAGGGGCGGCACGGTGGCTCAGGGACCTGAGTTCAAATCCATCCTTGGGCAACTGTCTGTGCGGAGTTTGCACATTCCCCCTGTGCCTGTGTGGGTTTCCTCTGGGTGTTCCGTTTTCCTCCCACAGTCCAAAGATGTGTAGGTTAGGTAAATTGGCCATGCTAAATTGCCCCAAGTGTGTCCAGGGTCATGCAGTCTAGGTGGATTAGCCATGGGAAATTCAGGGCTACAGGGAAGAGGGTGGGTAGATATGTGTGGGATGCTCTTTGGAGGGATGGTGTGGACTCAATGGACAGAATGGCCTGCTTCCATACTGTAGAGATTCTGTGATTTCTGTGATATTTTTCATGTGGAATTGTGGATCGTGGAATTCGTAGATGCTCAGTCATTGAGCCTTTGGGTACTATGGGAATTGAGTGATGTAAGTATCGTGTGGAAAGTGGAGTCAAGGTAAAATATCAGGCCTGATTTTAGTAAATGCCAAAGCAGGCTTGAGCGATCAATTGGTCAACTTCTCCTATTCCTTGTGTTATTTTGGTAATCCATTGCTGCAGTAGTAGCCACAAACATGTGGTCTATGGTCTTCGACATCTTAGCTAGACTTCTAAATACAAGAAATATTCGTAGCACTTGTAAAGTTTAAAGGAATATATGTAAAAGGTATCTAACACTGAGCTATTACATGGCATACATCGTATTTCATAACAGGTGATGAGAAATATTTTTTGAAGACCTTTTCTTGGGCTGTCTGTCCTGGAACCTGAAATTTACGTTTGATGTTGAATTCTAATTGTAGCCAGGGCCTGTTGATCCCACTGACAGTAGGTACATCATCAGAGTGCTGAAACAGATGTGCCGGTTTCAAACCTCCTCTCGACTGTCTCTACTTTAATGAGACCTAGCTCAGCATCTCCAGTGAAGTATAAAAAATGGTTATTTAAAATGCCTTGGTCACATACCATCTTTGTGTCTTTACTTGGCCTGATATTCAGCCTGTATCTGCAGCAAGTACTGACTGCCACTGAAGACTTTTTGTGAACTCTAGATTTACGAGAATTGTTCCGGAGATAGGGAACTTCAGCTAGACAGATTGGTTGGTGATGTTGCAACTGTTTTCCTTGCAGAAGAAAACTTGGAGAGGAGAATTGGTAATACCTCAAATCATGAGAATCTGGACAGAGTAGATGGGAAATACAGTTCCCATTGGTGTAAAGATTGAGGAGAGAGCATAGATTTAAGGTAATTAGGAAAGAAAAGCATTGGATGCACAACAAGAAAAACATTTTCATTTGCTGAGTGGTTAAGATCTGAAATGCACTTACTACGATGTGGTGAAGGCAGATTCAGGTGAGGCATTCAAGACAGAAAAGGAAGGATGTGTTTGCCTATGACAAGGTAGTACTAGATCAGTTGCACAATCAGAGAGCTGACATACACGACGGGCCAACTGGCGGTGTCTTACATGGTGATCATTCTTTGATTTTGTAATAAATGTGTTCTCTATAAAAACAAATAATAATTAACTGTTCTGATCAGCTTTTTTAAGCCAGATGTAGCTCTTTAAGTGCAATCGATATAATGTAGAAATTAATAAACTTAAAGTTCCTCACTTTGTTCAGCTGACTTAGAGTTGATTTATTATTTTTCTCTTATTGCAGTAATGCACCACAAAGTGGATTTTCTCTTATTCAAGTTGACAGTATGAATGTCACCATGAAGGAGATTCTGCAGAAGGCTCTAAAAAGGAGAAAAGGTTCACAAAAGGCTGCAGGTAAAAATGAGAAACCATGAATTTTAAGGTCATTAATTTGAGTTATGCCTACTGTGGTGATTTAATGCACGTTGATGTAATGCAACTAGTGACGTTTATGTATGCGCTTTTACAAATTTTGGTACACTTGTGTTTTTTAAGCTTCAAACTTAGAACTACCATTCCCATTTTTAACACTTTGTTTGCTCAGAGGATCAGAGAACCTTCTGCTACTGAGCTGTCCAGATTTATACATTTTCACCTAATACGCTAATGCTGTAAATCTGTGATCCAGTTATCAGAAATAATAATTCAAATCTACAAAGCGACATTGCAAAATCTAAAATAGCACACACCAAATAATGCTGATGCGATTTTTCCATACGTTTGTAGAAAGGCATTGCCTGTTTTCATCGTAGTTCCTCCTTTCCTTACTTTTGCAACCAAAGATGATTTCAATTTCATTCCATTCTAGCCATTTCTCCTATTTTTACACTTCTAGGTTTCCTGTCTCCCCTGTTTTCTTTTCCCAGCTTTTCTTTTCAAGTTGGGAGCAACTTCTTTGAAGAGATTGTCCCGTGATTTCCTAAAACCAGAAACTGCTTATTCAGTTAGCATCTGTGTTAAACAGATTGGCCAAGAGATGAGTCTTGTCATCGATGCCCCTTGAAGGCAATGAATAAACTTTGATTTGCTATGCTTTTACTTTTTCTTTCCATTTTAAATATCTGTCAACAAAAACCGTTGTTATAGATTTGATGCAAGGGAATTTGATTGTTGGATGCAATCTCAAAGCATTTGCTTTAGTAAAACAGATGTATCTGTATCTTCATGAGACTTAATCTCAAGACATACACATTATTCCTAATTGATATATATCCTTGACCCCCTCCTGTTTGTCATGTTCATGCCATTCCCCTTCCCATTATATAAAACAAAGCATCATTTTATCTAGCCCAGCAACCCTCCAAGGTATTCGGTCTTGCTTGTTTTTCGTTTCATGATCATCTCCAATTTTAATTAGTTCACCATGGCTTCACCTGCCAAGAGTAAAAGCTGGGAATGTTCCTTTCTCAACTTTGTTGTCTCTCTTACCTCTCTTTTCCTCCTTTATGCTCCTTAAAAGCTACTTCTTTGACTGAACTTGATATCCCAAAAATATCTTAATACCTTAATATTGCCTTATTCGGCTTGCTGTCAAATTTAAACTTCATAATCCAATTGTAAACATCCTCTTTAAATGTTTAATTACGTTAAATCATTATATAAATGAAAGTTCTTGTTGAATGTCAGAAAGCTAGTCAATCATAAAGCATCACAACTGCAGCAGCATCTTGTATAATGCCTTTATGTAATGCCTTTGACGTACTAAATTGTCTCATGGTACTTCACATGACAAAAAACTGACCCTGAGAAGATGATACTAAGATGTGTAACTAAGAGCTCAATCATGGAGGTAGATTCAAAGGAGCACTTTGTCTCCATTAAAAGAGGTGGTGATGTTGGTGGAGGAATTACAGAGCTTGGTGCCTGTTCCAACAGACAGCATGACCATCAATGTTGGGGCAAAGGGAGAGGTGAATACCTAGCATAAGCTTGGAGGACTGCAGAAATCTTGGAGGTGACAATGAAACCATAGAGGAAACTGAACAGAAGAATGAGGGTACTTAATTTAAGGTGTTGGTGGAGAAGGAGACAGAGTGTGGGTTAGCAATTACAGATGTAATGAATGGGACTTGGTGTAGTTTTGGATATAGGGAGCAGAGCTTGGTGAGATCAGGTTATGGTTGGTGGAAGATGGGAAGCCAGCCTGGGGAGCATTAGAATTGACCTATGGACTTCAGCAGCAAGATGGATGATGTCGTAAAGGTGGGGACCAGGTGTTCTTTGAGATAAAGTGGTTAAGGGGCCGGAAGCTGAGCTTCGAGTCGAATAAATTGCTGAGATTGTGAATAGTGTGATTGAAACTTTACTCAGTTGCAGGACGGAATTGTATTCGATATCAATATGGGTGCCAAGAAAGGAAGCTTGGTAGTCAACAGGTTAGTGGTAATAGAGTTTAGAGACTATGACACGTGTTATGGAGAAAAACACTGAGTCTAAACTTGTTTTCAGCCAGTCTTTACATAAGCTTTCCACTGGACAGGCGCTGAATACCAATTAGAGATACTCCCTTTTGTCTCTCCTCTCCTCGCTCGGAAAGTCTACAGCAATAATATCCTAGCTAACCCACTAATTCAATGATCTGATCATCATACAGAAACATGACTGCATGGAGACCAGACTGGGAACTGAATATTCCAAGATATTTGACGTTTAGTAAGGACAAACAAGAAGGAAAAGCTGCTGGTGTTACATTGATACTAAGGGATGGGATCTGTACATTGGTAAGGAGGATCTCGGATTGGAAGTAAAATGTGGAATCTGTTTCACCAGAATTAAGAAACCGTAAGGGACAGAAAACTTTAGGGGTTTAGAGTTAATTATAGTTCACCAGTAATAGTCGTAGCAGCACAGGGCATAAATCAAGACTGGAGAGAAGCTGGTAGCATAGGCTGTAATCATGGGTAAATTCAATGTGCTTAAAGATTGGACAAACAAATTGAGCACTAAAACCGTCGAGGATGAGTTTCTGGAGTGTGTTAGGGATGGTTTTATCAAGCCATAGCAAAGCCAATGAAAAAGGGATAATTAACAATCTGGTAAAAGAACCTTTAGGGATGAGTGACAATGGTATGATAGAATTTTACATTGTTTGAAAGTGAGGTAGTTCTTTCTGAAGCAAGGAGTTAAATTTGAATAAAGGTAATTACGAAGGCACAAATTGGCTAGTGGATTGGGAAAATACATTACAAGGCTTTTTGTAGAAAGGCAACGTATAGTCATTTAAGAACAATTACATGACTTACAGCAGCTATACATTGCTTCAAGGTGCTAGAACAAAAAAAATGTCAATCAACATATGGATTGCAGAGGAAATTCAGGATTCTATGAGATTAAAAAAGGTTTAAAAAGCTGCCAGAAGTAGCAGTAATTCTGAAGATTGGGAGATTTACAGAATACAACAAAAGATGACCAAGAAACTGATAAGGAAATGGAGAATAAAATATGAATTCAACCTAGCAAAAAACTTAAATGGACTGTAAAAAGTGCTGTTGGTAAATAAAAAGCAAATGCTTGGCTAAAATTAATGTAGGTCCAAAACAACCAGAGTCAGGAAAATTTATAATGGGGAATAGTGAAATGGTAGAGAAGCCAAATGTTTACTTTGTCTGTTTTCACTGAGGAGCATATCAGAAACTTGCAAAACTAGAGGTCAAGTGGTTAATGATGGTGAGGAGTTGAAGGGAATGTTCACTAATAAGAAGGTAGCAGTAGAGAAGTCATCAGGGTTTAAAGTTAATCAATCCATAAGACCTGATGATCTGTATCTGAGTGTTGAAGGAGATGGCTGTAGAAGAAATTAACTCCCAAAATTCCATAGATTTGGTAATGATTCCTGTGGATTTGAAGGTAACAAATGTCACACACTATTTTAAAAAGTAGCAAAAGAGAAAACAGAACTACAGCCCTGTTAGTCATATATGAGTAGTAGGAGAAATGCTAGAATCTATTATGAAGGATTAAGTAAACAGACATCCGATAATGATGATGATCTCATTGGGCATAGTCATCATGCAAATATTTTTGAATCAACTTGTAAGAGGTGTTACCACACACTTCTGGAGCAGGTGGGACTTGAACCCAGGCCCCCTGGGTCAAAGATAGGGACACTGCCATTCTACCAGACGACCCCTTGTGGTCAGCATGGGTTTGAGACTGGCAAATCTTGTTTAATAAGCTTGTTGAAGTTTTTTTGAAGTTCTTACCGACAAAGTCGATGAAGATTCAAAAGAAATTTTATCCTTAGTTTTTCAGAAGGCCTTTGGTAAAGTTCCCCACAAGAGGCTGATTAGAAAAAATTTAAGCACATGGGATGAGTGGTACTGTATTGGCATCGATTAATAATTGGCTGACAGATACAAAACAGCAGGAATAAATGGGTCATTCTCATGTTGTCAAGTTGTGAGTTGAGGGATACTGCAAGGATTAGTATTTGGGCTCCAGCTGTTCACAGTATGCATCACTGAATTGGAGGTGAAGGTGAAATGTAATTTTTCCAAATTTGCAGATGATCCAAGCTAAGCAGGAATGTGTGTCATAAGCAGGATGTAAAGCAGCTTCATGAGAACTTGGACAGGTTAATGAATGGGCAAGAACAGAATAGATGGAATATCAAGTGGAAAAATGTGAGTTGTCCACTTTGATAGGAGAAATAAATGTGCAGAGAATTTCTGTGATAAGAGATTGGAAAGTATAGAAGTTCAAAGGTGTCCTCGTCAACAAGTCACTAAAATATAGTTGCAGCAAACCATTAGGCTAACATTTCATTAGTCTTCCTTTCTTGCAAGAGGATTTGAATACAGAAGTAGTGAAGTCTTGTTTCAGTTGTTTAGGGAGCTTAATTACACCACACCTCGAGTACTGTGTGCAGTGATATATTATTGCCGTAGAGGGAGTGCAATAAAGGTTCAACAGACTTGTTCGTAGGATGGCTGGACTGTCCTTTGAAGAGAGATTGGGCAAGCTCTATTCTCTAGAGTTTCAAAGAATGAGAGGTGATCTGATGGAAACTTACAAAATGCTTCCTGGGATAGACAGTAGATGCAGGTTGAACGTTTTCCCTAGTTGAGAAGTCTAGAATCAGAGGCACAATGTAAAAATAATGGGGGGTGGTACTTAAGCCTGAGATGTGGAGAATTTTCTTTGCTTAGAGAGTTGTGAACCTTTGGAATTCTCTACCACATTCATCTGTGGAAGTTCTGTCTTTGAGTATGTTTAAGGCAGAGATTGTTAAATTTCTAATGACCAGTGGTGTGCAGGGTTATGGGATGGGGGCGGATGAAAGGCATTGAAGTGTTTAGTTAGCCGCGGTCATATTAAATGGCAGGGCTGTCTTGATGAGCTACTCTGTTCCTATG